GCACCAGGGGAACAACACAGAAAACAAACCCGCTCCACATCGCAACCGCAAAAAAAGAAAGCTTCAGCTGAAATTCGCACTTCTTAGACATCAAAGTAATCCCATGGACAAGACAGAAAAAAGCCAGTGTTTGTAGAATTACTTGCTGTTTTTGATTTGAACTCAACAACTTCCAGCTATTGCATGGGAGTGAATCCTTCTTGGGACGTAGATAAGTGTCACCTCCACGTCACACTGGTGTCACAGCTCGCTGCCTTTCACACACCTTCATCACAGCTGCTGCTGCTCAGGGAGCCCAGGATGCAAAATGTTACACGAGCTACTTTGAATGAAGTCTCTGTGTGCAGAAACATTGCATTGTGTGTGTTGGAGTGTGGTAGGTAAGGAAATTTGTGTTGCTGAAGCAGAAAGAAATACCTCCAATTGTGGCTTGAAAACATGAGTGGCACGCAAGAGTATTATAAACCAATGATTTGAAAACAGAAATGGGAAACAGAAACTTGTGAATTCATGTGGCTCTGTGACCACGAGGAAAGCAGCGCTGCATACGCAGCTGAGCCCAGCTTCCATTGAAAGACCATGGAAAGGCATCTTTCCTACACATTCTGAATTTGTGAAGGCCTGCATTGACCTGCATGGGCTGAGTAGTTCCACTGCAGGCAATAGCCCAACCCCTGTGCATAAATGAAGCCCACAGGTACACTTTCACAGGAGTAGGTCATAAATGGGAGTTGCATTAGATCATTAATATTTTTCCTTTTCTTCTCAATGTCCCTCCTCTTCCCAAACCACCACCCCATCAGTGAAACAGGAACAGTAATACCCACCTCAGCAAGGTACATGAAGATTAGCTTAAAACCGTTTTTACCTTTTCTCCTTTAAATTCCCAGGGGAGAAAATCTTCCTTTATTTTACTTTTTATATTTCAAAAGGCAATTTGTTTCTTACGCAGACCTTTTCAGCTCAGCACCCTGGAATGTTTTCACCTTCCTCAGAACTGATGGGTGATAAATCAGCCCAGAGGTGTCTGCTAGCAACAACAGCCCTTAATTTGCTGCAGTAAAATAGCTATTTAATGTGCTGATATCCAAAGATTTCTGCCTCAGCTAGTATTCGAGCACAGCACTGACCCATTGCGTTATTTGAAATGAACTTGCTTTAAAATATAAGAGTGAAAAATGAGCGATGGCTGGACTTCTGGCCTTCTTTTATAAGATACTATGTCAAAAGGGATCTAAAACCCAGCATCCTCTAATTGCCAGTTTGGCGGCAGGTGCTTCCCACTCTGAAACTCCTTGGGTTCAGAATAATAAAGGCTTTGCATACAGCAGGGCTTCAGGGTGGCTTTTAGCTTCTGAGTAATCGCTTATATGAGTGGTACCTCAAACCCCCAGAGTGCAGGTCCGTTTGTGCTAGGCGCTGAGCAAACAGATAGAAAGGGGCCATCCCTGTCCCGAGGAATTTCTGGTCTATATAGAGAAGCAGGCTGCATGGAGGAGAGGGGGCAATACCTGTGGCCAAACAGTGAAATGACTTGCCCTGAGGTCACACTGTAGATTAGTGCTGATGCCAGCCACAGTGCTTCTGTCTCTTGAATCCCAACACTGCTCCCTGACCAGGAGCCCATGCTTTTGCTCCTAAACCTCCTCCCTTGCACACGTCCCTCCCCTCCTTCCATTATTAATCTTTCTTTTTTCAAACGTGCATGGTCGTCTGCCTCTGCTGTGGACTGAGACAGGCTGAACCTTCATCACCACCTTCAGCTGGGCAGTCCCATGTTTCTCCTCCTCTCCTATTTACTGGCTTCCTACCTTCCCTATCTCGCACAGCACCCAGACCCTGGTAGGCTGGCACTGAGCCAGCTCATATTTTGTTAGATGACTTTTTTTTTTTTAGCTGACCTTTATTTTTTAATCACAGATGGAGGTCCAGGCCTACCTTACACCAGTCTTGAAATTCAAACCGCTGTTGAGCTGCTCTGAGAGTCCCTTCTGCAGCCTCAGATGCCTTTATTTTAACAGAGTTCACAAAAAAGGGGTAAAAAATTATAAAGTCAAGGCTTTTCCTACCTTGCAGTTGCCTTTTTCCCCTTCAAGCTATTAACAAACATTTTCTACCCACTTAAAAAAAACCTGCTCTGGACAGTTTGGATGAACAGGACACACCAGCGATAAGGTTTCAGCAGACACACATACTCACTGCATGCTGGTTACTTCAGGCTCGTTCAGCGTTGAACTGTTCAGCTCATCTCCCTGCTGCTGCCGTTCCATAATGCTCTGTGAAAGAAAGATGCTGAGGTACCTAATTCCAGGAGAAGTCACTGAGGTATGAAGCCCCAGCAGGCAAGATAAATCCAGTCTGGTCCTCTGAGCAGAGAGGACAGACCTGCCTCCGGTGAGCACTTGGGGATGGCTAGCTCCAGGCAGCTGCATGACAAATTTGGATGGCTCACCGTACGACATCCCTCTTCAGCTGGGAAAATGGATCATCTATCATCTTCTTTTCCTTAGGGTGGGGTGGATTATCAGGTTTTCAGTAGCAGGTCTCAGAGCTGGTGATCTTTAAGAAAGGATCAGCTGGACTCAGGTGGGGAATCACTGACCTTGTGACAACTCGCCACCAGCCTTGAGAATCTGTAAAACCTGGTTATTCCCGGAATTCTGGTAATGGTGATTTTTGGATGGATATAGACCAACTGACACATCAAGAAAGGGAAATTATCTTTCACATGAAATTTCTGCTGTGCCAGGCTGTTATCACTGAGATTAGCTGCCAAACAGAAAATGTAGGTATGGTCTTGGCAACAAAGAGATAGGAACGGATGCGTTTCCTGGTTAACACAACCCCCCTAGAAATGCACAGACCTGTCTGCTTTCAGTAAGGGCTACAGGACACACCTTTCTCCCCAAGGCTACCCCAGCTGATTACATCCCGTTTTTCTTTTGTTTAATAAAGAATCAGCAGAAGGTTTCCAGTCCTGCATTGCAAAGAAGGCATCCGCACACCGTCCAGTAGGCTAAGAGAAAAAAGAAAAGCAAAGCCAACATCTTTCCTGTGTGTATCAAGTGTCTGGATTTTAGAATAACCAAAAGACATGGCATTCTTGTCCTGTATTTTATTAGGACATTAACAGGCTGATTGATAACCTAAAATTACACAGCAAATCTCATTTTTAAAATGTTCAAAATCATAACAATAATTTTGATTTCTATAAAACGTAATGCCCAGATAAAATTCCTGTTTATGCCTGTAAATTTCTACACCCTTGACATTTATCTACCATACAGCAGCAAGGCTGGATAATTGTAAAATAATCTGTAAAGTTAAATACAGTATACGTCTCTCTGCAGTCCAAGAGGAAGAGATGAAATGTTGAAAAGAAAGTGGGGAATATGAGCAGCGCTATGAGCAGGTTCCCCGCGATCTCAGTTCACTACATGTCAGTATTTCAGACTGCTCAAAGACGTGAAAGACTGGTGATGTTAACTGATGTGCAAAGTTACGAGGCTTTAGGGCATCAGTTTTGCAGGAGAGGGAGAGAGACCGCTGTGGGGTACAGGCTCTGCAGTGAGGGAAATGGGGTGCGCTGGATGTGTATCATGCTCAAATTGCAAGAGCAGATAAATCTGTCTACATCTCCCTCTTTTGCCCGCTATATGGGCTACCACCACCCCCACATTGGACTAAGTAACTCTTTCTGACGCTCTGTCAACCTTAAAGATGTTCCACATTCAAAGCAGGGCTGATACGATACAGATGCTGACTATTTGCAAGGGTTGAATTTCAGCCTTAGTAATCAAAGCCCAAATCCTGCTCACTTTGCGTGTGTGAAAAACCACACCGAGCCACTCACTGCTGGCTTTAGTGCAGCTGCCATGTGGGGTAACGTGGTTCAGCTCTGTGGGTTGTAGCTGAGGCCTTCGCCCCTCTAAACTAGAGCTGGCACTTTTCAATACCAAACAACTCTTGTAGGCAGGTGAATTTCTCATGACATTACTCAGGAAACTATTCAAATTGTTATATATGCTGTCTGGATGAGGGATGCTTTCCTGAAGTGGGGCCTCGATTCCTGCGAGTACTGTGGGTGCTCAGTAAGGGGCCAGCTCAAGCACTTGACCAGCAAGTCCAGTCACTTCAGCTTCTTGTACTTCTCTTGGAGACTGTAAGCTAAAACCCAGCAGATATAAGAAGAAGTAGGCCTTCTTTTTGAAAAGCTATTTCAGGACAAGTACATTCAGACCACTGTGTTTTCTATTTATATATAAATTCTTTGGCAACAGTTTTCTAGAAAGCAGAATCATTTTTTCTATGCAATACTTTATTGTCTCCCCATGAAAAACTGATATCTTAAAAAATCTATAGCACTTTCCACTATAAATACTATTGTTCCAGATTAAGGATTAGTTCCTCCCTGAAGAAAAACAGATTTAAGAAATCTGGTCATTATCTGATAACCGTTTATGTAGCAATGTTAAAATAAAACAGACAAAGATCATTCTGTATGTGGTTTGTCATTCTCTAGAATGTTAGTGTACGTTTATACAATAAAAACAACATAAGTTATCCTAGTTTGTTTTAAAAACCTTAGTAGTAGAAATATATTGCTATCTGCAGATTCATAAACAATGCACTTTTTCCATCTAAGTTCAAGTATTATTAGAATTATATTTCCTATTATTATCAATAAAGGAGCTCTAAATCCTTGCCATTTCGCCTGTCTCTACATCACTTTGGTCTTTCTGAGAAATAGAGTTGTGATCATTTGTTCATGAACAAAATCAACGTGGAGCTTCCGTAAGTTTTGCCTGGTAGAAGACAGCCTGGCAGTCCTTCGGCTATTACAAGCGGCTTTAGAAGAGTGTATATGAGACTAGTGGTTTAGATACAGCAGTTGCGTGTTTTCTTGGACGGCTGATGAACTTCATTCTTTCCAGGTTCTCAACATTCAGTCCCATTTAAAGAAGAACGGTGGGAAGAACCCAATCCAGACTTAGGCCACATCAGGATATATCATCTTCGTTTATTCTCGGTACTGTGAGTTGCTCGTAGGTTGGCAGAGTGTTATTAGGGAGGAAAAGATCCGAATTGACATTGTTGCCTCTCTGAGGTGATCTGTTGTTCCCTTGATCCCCCTGCTGACGGGAAACCAGATGATGCAGCATATCTGTAATGAGGTTCAGTTTCTGGTCCATTTGTGTAACCTACAAAGGCAAAGGGAAGCTTGTTCAGTAGCACCATGTGAGAAAATTGCAACAAACCACGTGATACAAATGCAGTATTCAAATCACATTTTTCTTTATTAGGATCACAACCACCTCTATGAAGACACCACAGATTCACAGTTCATTAAATGGAGCATTAGAAATTTAATGCAATAGGTCAGAATTGGGTGAGGACAGGCCTGTTAATACTCACCTCTGGTATGCGCTTTGACACTCCTTTTATACTTGGATGAACACATGACAAACAGGCTTCTAAAGAGATGTGCTGGGATAGAGAACTAAGTCCCAGAACTGAGTTTCTGTGGTTTTTTGTTATTATTGTGTCCACATTTTTTTGAAAACATGAAAACTTCTAACATGCTTACATGCCTTAATAATATCAATATGCTGTAGTTAATATCTGCTCTACTTGCAGTAATCTAATCAACCCTAAGCTGGAACTGACCGATGCTCTTCGTTACATTTGGGCCCAATTAGCAGCTCAGGCCGCAAAGTGCCCGCAGGTATTTCTGCTGCTGTGAGCGTATAGCAGCTGGGGTCTGCAGCAAGGGCTGGGAGTGGGGCATGATTCAGTTTTATGCTCTTACCCCCCCCAACGACACAGTGTTCGCTAGGATTCCCGTTCAGATGACATGGTTCACAGCAAGCCAGAAACTCTTCTGAGAAGTGTGCACTAATTTTTCAACTGGGGGGTGGGGGCAGCAGGGGAAGTTTCACCCTGAATCCATAATGCTCACTTTCTTCTGCCTTTAGACAGAAGCTCCTTAAAGGATTTAATTCCTCTGTTTTGCTTTTTCTGCTCTGTCCTGTAATCTTTAGAAGAAAATATAATGAAAAATCAGGATACCTAATAAAGTCTAGGTTATGGATTTGTCCAAAATTTAGACTCTATTTGGCATATATTTGTGGTACTCAGAGGAAAATAATGAATGAACTGTTTCTAGGAGCACCACAGATTCAGTCTCTGGTTTCTTGCATTTTCTAGTCAAGAGGTAACCTGTACCACCCCTTTTACCTGGCATGGGAAACCTCCTCTCTGCACTGACTCCAATGTACTGAGTGAGCTGTCCCGAGGGGAAGACGGGCACTTCCACCTCCAAGGTCCTGCCCACTCTCTGCCCCCTGGCACGGCAAGCACTGAAACTGGGCAGTAAGTGTCTGCCTTCTGGCCTCCTACTCCCTTCTACCAGCACAACGAGAAAGCCTCGATTTTGCCATTGCAGTCTCTGACTGATCGATCCACAGGGATCCTACAACACTAAGTAAATTCTAGGCAAAAACATGCAGTAAGTTTTAAAAAGGCAAAAGAAAGTAAGCAGAAAAAACCATGATAGGAATAAATTGCTGCCTAAAAAATCTGCTAGAAAGTAGTGAAAGGCACATAAAACCGCCAGCGAGAGCATGAGTGGGAGCAATTTATATGTGCCTGGCCATCATCCAAGTATCACACAGGATAGTAAAAGACGGTAAGGCTGAGCAGAACATCAACAAAGCTGGATGATTTCAGCAGAGACTAAAATGTTTTTCCACCATAGAGAAAATGCCATTTTTTTCAAACACTTTGTACAACTGGTAGGGAAGCAGATACAGTGATTTAAAAATATGAGGTGCCAGAGATTTATACTTTGCAGCTGGTTTTGAAAACATTAGGCAAAGCACCCTAGATGGTACATGAAACACTAGTAATTCTGGATGGAAATGGCTGTTGAAAGATGAGATTCTTCAAATGAGGAAGCTGAAGAACACATAAGTTCAAGATTTGTAGAAGGAAATACAGATGGAAAACTGAGCAGATCATCAGGTTTTCATTTCATAACTATTTGTTCACTCCCTTAAAAAAAGGCACGCTTTGCCCAAATGGTGTCCACCACAGATGGCAAACTCACAATGCTCCAAGTGTAACAGAACAGATCAGTGCTAGTGAAGCCTGCAAAAAGATCTCATTCCTCCATCCCTCACTGCCCAGGTATCGCTTGCTTTCTGAGACAGCTGCATTGGAAGCACTGTAGTTAAAGGTTGCAGACAAAAAGCTATCTTCAGAGTCTGAAGGACAACTTTTCCTCTAACAAGAAATGTCGTTTTGCTAATTATTCAAAACTAACTAGGGGACTTCTATATATATATTTGTTCATTTGTGATTCTAGGCAGGGTTTACCAGAAGAAACACAGACTGAAGATATATCTGGAAAATATGCGTTTATGAAACTCTTGCAATGATGAGCTATTGAATGTGACAGTAGATTGGACTGAGATCTGGATAGTCCTTCAACAGCTGTGCATCCTAGTGATGAAGTACTGGAGAGAAGTGAGATGTGAATATTCTTCCCGGGAAATAAATTCCCAAAGATAATTGTCTAATTTTTTCTAGAGAACAAGGTCTGGCTGCTGCAGCTGTGGAGTGCAGAAGGCCCACAGAAGCAGAGGCAGAAGCTAATTGGTGTTAAGCTGAGCCATATAAGATAAAAAGTAAAGACCTGCGTCTTCCATGTATCTGCTTATTGGGGTAGGGCTGTAAAGCCACGAAACTTTTGTGGAGGGAGGTCCAGATAGCTGGTTGTGTTTAACTGTTGTTTAATCAGTTTTGCTTCCCAATAAGGCAAGCCATTTCCCAGGGAGTTCTGCACCCGTGAAGGTCTTGCTCCAAGACACGCTTAACTCAGTGGTAGTTTTTGGCAATCACAGACTTCTAGTGACTTCAGCGGGTTCTGGACCAATCTTGGACTGAATTGTCAGTCCCAAATAGCAACATATTCTTTGGACGTTACAAGAGAAGGAGCAGTCTGGATTTCTGTACATTGCTCTGCTTGTACTTCTTGGGGTTGAATCAGAAAAGATGACATTTGCAAATGAGATGGCAATGGGACGATGGGCCCCCACCCTCAGTTCTGCCAAAGGGGTGTCTGCTTAAAGTATGAGCCATTTTAAAGAGCGAAGTAAAAGCCACCAGAAGGCAACTTATACTGTCATCACAGGCCTCGGATGTACAAGAATAAGAGGCTTGCTGGTGAACGGCCTTGCTTATTAGCATGTCCAATCTGCCCCTTGTCATTCAGACACACATCCTGAAATACACCTGTCACTTGTTTCCTGCAGAAATAATCATACCCACTAGAAAAATGTGTGCAATACCCTTTTTATTACACTGGCTTTACGCACTTAGCATGGAGATGTGTATCACCTCCTCTGAATCATACTTTCAAACACATTTACTTGATTAGAAATTAGCTATGATGCCAGAATGAATAAAAGTAAAGCAAACAGAAAAACTGCTGATGTTGCTATAATATTAACTGCTTTGGACAACTCTGATCCCTCTCCTTAAAAGAGCAAACAGTGTTAATTATGTAGAAAAAGAACTCAGACTGATTTGTTTCTTTTAGGAAAAACTAAGTAAGCTCTTTCTAGCTGACTTATGTTTTATTAGAAGCATGATGTTTGGATGATAAAATTCTTTATATGCAAATAATTTTATTTGTATTTTATAGTTGTTGGGGAGAGGAGACAGTGTTTGAAACTCTTCAGAAATTACACACTGCAGTTATTCCTAAATCTGAAATATTCTATAAAACACGATTTTTCCATCCTCTGAGATAAATTTTTTTTTTAAAAAAGATCCAAGGATCATAGATTGAGCACAGATGGAAAGAAGCAGATTTAAACAAGTTTTGAACCTAGCTCTTGGAAATGAATAAAAAAATCCCATTCATGCAATGCACTGAGGAAAAAAAAACCCAACCAAATAGTTCTTCACAAAGGCTGAAAGATCACAGCACACATCTTAAAAGGCACATCATAAAGAAATGTAGCTATGTTACAGAACCGATTTTTCCCCTCCCTAAAAAGTCACAGAGGCACCTGACTGCTCTGACACCCCACACAATAGACCAGTGGCGATGACGTAGTTCCTACAAACCACAAGGTCCTCTTAGGTCATGTTTTCAGGAGAAGCAGTCCTCTACAACTGGATGTAAAGTGACATGCCAACTTTTATAAAGGTATCAAAGGCATTCCAGGAGGTGCCAGTGAACAAGACAGAGACTGTTCTTGTGATGAGAGAACAAAATAACGAGCACTTTATCTAACAAAATTCCACAAATTTTCACATTGTATTCATCTTAAATGCCCTGTAATTTTAAGCTTCATAACAAATTCATGGTATGATACAGAACATAAAATGTAACAATGAATTTCTTTCGTTGCTTTTTTTTTTTTTTTTAAAAAGGGCCAAGGACAGATGGAATTATGGAGCTGAGCGGAACAGTATTTTCAGACACGGATATTCAGGATTGTGGGGAAGCTGAAGGACAAAATCTGGAGTTTGGCATAATTTAGGCCACAAAGACCACAAATTACTAATAAGTTATGCCAAGTATTGCTCCATGACCTGGAGGGATCAAGGCTGATCAGTGATGTTCATTAAAGTTGTCTCATCTGCCCTTCATTCTCACAGATTTCAAGAGTAAGTATTATTAAGGGTAAAAATCATAGTCCCTTTAGACAGGCCAGTGGTTTATAATTACCTTATACCGTCTTAACACGGTTGACTGATTAAACAACTAATTTGTTAATTATTATTTGATCTTAATCAAGTGAGATTTTATCAGCACAGTGCTCACTCGGTGGGTTCGGGGGGACTGTGCTGGTTCTTAATATGAAAAGCCAAGCACGAAGCTGCTAAAGGGGAAGAAGAAAACCAGAACACAAACTAGGCTTGGCTGAATGAAAATGTGAACCAGGAAAATTTCAGCTACTTTTCCAACATTAGTTTGCCACCCTGACTTATCTTGAGCAGCATTCATTCCTGAGGGTGCAGCTTTTTAGCTCAAAGGGAACTAACTCTTTTTAAGGCACTTCTTCCAGATAACTGGTGACTGGGGAGATCTTCATGTATTTGCCACTCCTGGTGGTCTCTTAGTAAGGAGGACCCTATTGCTCTGCAGTGTGGCAAACTTCTAAGGAAAGAAAATGATGCTTTCCTC